TCTGGGCCTCAGTTTCATCACCTGTAAAATGAAGGGATTGGACTAGATCAGGGGCTCTCAACTTGGGGTCCATGAGCTTTTAAGAATATTTTGATAACTATCACACACACAAATATTCCAATAGAATTGGTTTCCCTTGTAATCCTGTGTATTTTATTTTATGCATTTAAGACCATGATTCTAAGAAGGGGTCCATCAACTTCTCCAGATCCAAAGGGGCCCAGGATACACAAAAAGGGTTATGAACCCCTGGACTACACTAGATGACCTCAAAGACCCCCTTCCAGCTCTTGTTCTAGATTCCTAGGACTTGGAAGCCAAAGGGGGAGAGGGGATTGAAAGAGAACCCTCAAAGATGACCAGCAAGGGCCCTTGGGGAGGCCATGGGGTGGCACTGACCAGGGCCTCACCGAGGGCTGTTGTTTGCAGTACAAGGCCAGCTGTAGCCGCCATTTTATCTCAGAGGACGCTCAGGCCCGGCAGGACAAGGAAGTATTTCAGCAGAACATGAAGCGGAGACTGGAGTCCTTTAAGTCTACCAAGCACAATGTGTGTCTCTCTAAGAGCAAGTTGCGGCTCCGCAAGGCCGGCCGGAAGGTGAGTCCCTCCCCAGTCGTCTCTCTCCCCCTGGATTCTCCCATCCTCTTTGCAGTGCCAGACATCATCCTTTCCCTTTGTGGCTGCTGGTTGAGGTTGATGCTTGTGGGGAGTTCTGGGCACTCTGCCCTTCCCTGCCTGGAGCCAGCCCTGGAGAGCAAGAGAACTGTGGAAAACAGGCAACCCAAGATGGGCCATTGTGAGGAAATGACAAACCATGAAGCGTTACATAAATGTGAGAGATGATGATGATGACGACTGCGGGAACCCAGCTGACTGCTTGGGCAGCCCCACTCTTTTAAGAACCCTGGGATTATGGCTTGTCTGTGTATCCCCTTAACCCTTCCAAGTCCGTCTTATAGTCCATTCTCTAGTAGAGATAGACAGATAGATAGATAGATAGATAGATAGATAGATAGATAGATAGATAGATAGATAGATAGATAGATAGATGGACAGACAGATAGATGAGATGGATAAGATAGATAGACACAGATAGACAGACAGACAGATAGATAGATAAGATGGATAAGATAGATAGACACAGATAGACAGACAGACAGATAAGATGGATAAGATAGAGAGACAGATAGATGAGACGAATAAGATAGATAAATGGATAGATGAGACAGATGCATTGATGATAGATATAGATTGCTAGATGACAGATATATCTATCTAGAGATAGATGAGATGGATAAGACAGATGAGGTGATGATAGGTTTAGATATAAATAGATAGATGATAGATATAGATAGCTAGATGACAGAAAGATGAATAGATTAATAGATAGATAGTTAAGAGCATTTATTAAATGTTTACAATGTGCCAAGAGATGTGCTAAATGCCAGGAATACAAACACAAGCAGAGAGAAGATAGTCTCCATCCTAAAGAAGGTGTACATTTTTATAAGCAAAGACAGCACATTAAAGAGAGTTGGAAAGTGGAGGGCGTGTATGGAAGAGATCAGAGTGGTAGAAGGTGCCCAGGCAGGGACAAGGTGAGGAAGATGTCCTGGGAATCGTGGGCTGGAGTGGGGGTGAAGTCAGCATGGCTGGCATAGGTGCTTCCTCAAATGGAAGTTCTGGGGAGGAGTTTTCCAATCAGAGAAGGAAGCCAGCATAAGATGGCTCAGGGGTGGAGGTGGAGAATTCATCTGGGGATCACAGGCTGAGCTAGGTTTGGAAAGCACTGGATTTGGGGTCAGAGGGTCTGGGGTTGAATCCCAGCCCTGCTACTAGCTTGACCTTATACCAAGCCCTTACTCTCTGGACCTCAGTTTCCTTATCTGTAAAATGAGGTGATCGGAATAAATTATCCCTAAGGTTTCTTCGAGTCCAAATCCTATGATCTTATCTACGGTTGAGAACAAATTGGGGAAAGTGGGGAGTGGCATACAACATCTTTGTTACCAGCTATGGAGGCAACGTGCTTAGGTCCTGGAGACTGGGATTTGGAAAAAGAAAGCCAGAGACCCTAAGGCCAGAGCCATATTTGTGAGTATCTCGGCCCACTTTGACAGCCTCGAGTCCCAAGTGGGGACTTCTTTTCCAATTGAGGAAGTCACCTCTGTCTGGGCTGAGAATATGGATGACCACCTTCCACCTGATCTCCGGGGGGGCTTGCCCTACGACTTGGTACCCTACCAGGGTAGGGAATTGGAATTTAGGTGTCAAGCCCCAGGGGTGACTCGGGTTGTTTTCCTTTGTCTCCAGAAGGATGGTTCAGCAGACAAAGAGACTCCTAATGGGAAACCTCATCGAGCCTCAAACTTACCGGACACAGGCAAGCTGAGGGAGAAGGAACCGGGTGGAGGAGTACTGGCCAGTGTGGCAGCTAATCAACCAGCCTGCTGTGTGCCCGGACCTGTGCCAAGTGTTGTAGGAAATACAAGAAGAGCCCGGCACGGTGGGAAGAGTACTGGGTGAAGAGTCAGGAGTCAGTTGTAAGGAGACTGGGAAGATAGGAAGGGGCCAGGTGGAGGAGGGCTTTTTAAAGCCAAACAGAGACTTTTATAGTTGATCCTGGAGGTAACGGGGAGCCACTGAAATTTATTACATTGGGAGGAGTGACATGGTCAGACTTACCCTTGAGGAAGATCACTGTGATAGCTGAATGGAGGAGGGATTGTAGTGGGCAGAGACTGGAGGCAGGAGTTGTAACCAGGCTATTGCAGTAGTCCAGATGTGAGGTGATGCTAGCCAGTGCCTGTGAGGTGGCATTCTGAGGGGAAGGAAGGGGACATACACAAGAGATGCTACGAGGCAGAAAAGACTTGACAACATATTGGCCGGAGGGAGTGAGTTCAAGAGAGCTGAAGATGACCCTGAAATTACAAGCCTGGTAACTGGGTGGATGCTGGCGCCCCCTATAGTAACGTGGACATTTGGAAGAAGAGAGGGTTTGGAAGGGAGAGACAGTAAGTTTTGTCCTGGACGTGCTGAATTTGAGATATCTGCACCAGCGTGGCGCTGCCATGTTAGAGAAAGAGGATGGGGGCGGCGAGATCATGCAGTGGATAGAGTACTGGCCCTGGAGTCAAGAGGTCCTGAGTTCAAATCCGGCCTCAGACACATAACACTCACTAGCTGCGTGACCCTGGGCAAGTCACTTAATCCCAATTGCTTCACCAAAAACAAACAAACAAAAAAAACCAAAACAAAAAAACAGAAAGAGGATGTAGGCATGGGATGCTGTGAAGGGGAAAATGACGAGACAGCAACAGACTGGACAGGTGAGATGTGACCGAATAAGTGTCTGCCCAGATGGCAAGGTACAGAGATGAGATCTGAACCCAGGCCTCTGGACTCCAAAGCTAGTGCCCTCCCCATTGGGTCACCCCTGCCTCTCATTTGATGGGCTCCATGCAGCCTAGCTAGTTGCCTCCCTGCTCCTGTAAGAACCAAGTTCTTTCCATGGTGTGTTGACTTGTCTCATATCTCCACAGGAGACCCAGGGCAGGGACCAGGCTGAACCAGATCCCTGGGAGAGCTAGCCTGGGGCTTTGGAATAGAGGGACCTAGAGGTTTTCATTTCTATAAGCTCAGTGTAAGCCCCGTGTGACAAGGCAGCCAGATCAGCTAATACAGTCACAGAGGGGAGATTCTTGCCTTGCCATCTTCAGCTCAGGGCTAACCACATCTGGAGTGTTGTGCTGCTCTTTGGGACCACGTTTTAGAGAGCGTACTGACAGTGGATAGAGTATGGGATTTGAAGTCAGATATTAAAATCACGATTTTGTTCCTTTTCTTACCTCCGTGATCTTCGGGCACGTCACATTTGGGCTTCACCAGTAAAACTGAAGGTCTGGAATTATTTAATCCCAAGTTGAATTAATTAATTATTTAATGTTAAAGGACCTTCCTAGTTCTAAACTTTATAATCCTATGACAAGCTAGAACACTTCTAGAGGAAGGTTGACAAGATAGGGAGGGTGGGACAGCTAGATGGTACAGTGGATAGAGTACCAGCCCTGGAGTCAGGAGGACCTGAGTTCAAATTCGGCTTTAGACACGTACTAGCTGTGTGAACCTGGGCAAGTCACTTAACTCTACCTCCAAAAATGATGGTGAGGGAAATCGAAACCAGCCCATTCATGGGAATGGAATTCTTCATGACACAAGGTATTTAGCAGAACCTGCTTACCAGAGATGATAATAAGAAGGCATTCCATTGATAGACACCCTCTGAGGTCTCTCCCAGCAGCTGGATTGAGTCCCCTCCCCCTGCTTCTGTTCCCGCCCAGCCGCAGTGATCTTAGCAGTGGAGTCCGAAGAGGAGAGTGACAGCTCGGAGACAGAGAAGGAGGATGATGAGGGCATTGTCTTTGTGGCCCGGGCCACCAATGAGGTTTTCCGAGAACACAAGGTGCCAGGTAATGGTATGCCTCCCCTCTGCCCCAAGAAGTACCAGGATATACCCTCTTCCCCTTCTCTTTTTAGAGATTCTCCCCCCAAGCTGACCCCAAATGACTCCCTTTACCCAATGGCCAAGCGTGCCTGGTTCTGGACAGAGTAAGGGAGGCTAGCTTGACCAAGAAGAAGAAGCCGAATCCACCCGGACCCAAATAATTTGATTTTTCAGTTTGAATAACTAAACTAAACTGTATAGGAATCTGGTAGATTTGAAACTGCACTGGATGAAAGGGAGGTATGTAGGGTAATGGAGAGACCCTGGGCTTGGAGTCATGAAGACCTGAGTTCAAATCCCACCCCAGGCACTTATTAGTTGTATGATCCTGGACAGTTCCCCTAACCTCTCTGTTTCGTTTTCCTCACCTATAAAATGAGGGAGTTGGGCTCCATTGCCTCTGAGGCCCCTTCCAGCTCTAAATCTATGGTTCTATGGATCAGGTGACCTGGGCTTTCGTTTCCAGTTCCATCACCCGCCGCGTGACTGGGCAGATCGATTCCCATCTCTGGGCCTCAGTTTCTTCATCTGTGAAATGAAAGAGTTGGACCAGATAATCCTTAACATCCCTTCTGAGTAACAATCTAAGACCCTATGATTGCCTATAACCGATTGGCCCAGATGCCATCTTTATTGTAAACCACTAGGCCTTTCAGCGGATGTAACGTTACTGTTAATCATAGCGTCAAACCTGTTGGGAGCAGCGGTGGTTTTTCTTCCTGCTTGTCCAAGGGGCTGCATGTGGGTGGGTGGGTCCCCAAGTGTGCACTGAGCCTCTGCTGTGCTCCAGGCCTGTGAGCCGGGCTTGGTTCTCGTTCTCTGGGTGGGGTGGCTCTTTCTCACTGGGACTCACTCCTTCCAAACCTGTTGCTCACTTCATCTGTCACTTCCCCTGTTCTCAGCTCACCTCAATTAATGCACTATTCATCTCCTTTGTCACCTGCCCCCAAATGAAGAACATTTCTGGGTTTCCCTCCTTGGGTCCCAGATACTCCTTAATCCCCCTCTTGGCCCAGATAGCTTTAACTTGGAGAGAGAGAGAGGGATGTTAAAGTAAGACCACCCCTTAAGGGTGTCATTCCCATTTTACAGATGAGGAAAGTAAGGCTCAGAGGTGAAATGACTTTTCTATAGTAACCCAGCTAAGTAAGCATCAGTGAAGAGATCTGAACCCAGGTCTTTCTGATTCTGAGACCAATATTTTAGCCACCATGTCACAAATCCAGGCTTTTCTACTTACCGCTGGGGTGATGATAGCCCTCACTCTTGGACTCAGTACCTATTACACAGGTCTGCAGGCCTAGAGATCAGAGACATGGGGGTCATGTCTCTGACCCCTTGGTCAGCCTGGCCGGGAGTTCTGTCCCTTCGTTCCCCACTGACTTAGAGTGGGGGGTGGCCGGGTTAGCAGGCAGGCTGGTTCCAGGGCAGGATGTTATCATCTGTGCAGCAGTCATAGAAGCATTGACCCATACCAAGGAGTGACTTACCTTCTTCCCGGTACCGTCCCTATTTCCAGGCTTTTCCTCACTTCTTGCTCAGTTCCTGCCCTTGACTCAGTTTGTCCCTGTGACAGATCATACAACCAGTGTCCTTAGAGATTGCCTAGTTCAACCTTATTATTTTATAGAGGAGAAACTGAGGCTCAGAGAGATGGCACCTTCAAAGTCACATAGGTGTTAAATTGACCCCAAATCCTGTGTCCTTTCTACCGTCCCACATGAAATAATAATAATACTGAGCTGAGAATGCAGCCCCAGTAAACTCCCTAGGAGAGGAGCCGGTGAGACCAGAGGCCTTCCTTGCTTGCTTTCCCTAAGTCCCCTTGGGCCTATGTCCAATGGGCCACGTGTCTGCTGAGCTGTGTGCTTATGTCCCCAGGGAGCATGGAGGTGTGCCCAAGCCCATGCATCATTCCCCCCTCACCAACTTGTGCTGAGAAGGAGCTGCCCTGGAAGAGCGGGCAGGGGGACCTGGCAGTGTACGTGTCATCAGAGACCACCAAGATTGTGCCTGTGGACATGCAGACGGGTTGGAACCAAAGCATTTCATCCCTGGAGAGCCTGGCGTCTCCCCCCTGTGCCCAGGCTGCCCTGAGAGCAGCCCACCCTCTGGCCTGCCCCCTGCCTCGGGGAGACGAGCTCCGGGACCCCCTGGCAGCTCTTGTTACTCCATCACCTGAATCCCATGCTGGCTTTACCTTCACCCCCAGCCTTGCCAAGGCAGGCCGCTCCCGTAGCGAGAGCAGCGCAGATGCCCCCGAGCAGCAGGAACTGCAGCCACTGATGGCACCGGAGGACCGTGGGTGCCTCAGTCCAGGCACTGCCAATGCCCGATGGCTTATCCAGTTCAACAGAGCTGGTCGGCTGTAGCCCTGAGACCTGAGGGGTCAGAGGCGGGAAATGGGGAGGGGAGGGAAAGGAAAGAAGGAAGATGAGGAGAGTCCTTGTATGGTGTTAAGGGGTCCAGAGAATGCACTTGGCAGGGGTCAAGGCCAAGGCTGAACTTGGGCTGAGAACCAGCCACCCCAGAAGTGGGGCCCCTCCTCTACCACACCACCCTGACCTTCTTCATCATGGCTTCTAAGCTGCCCTCTAGATGAAGAAGAGAGCAAGGAGCTGAAATCTGAGCATGTCCGGGGCCATGGGCAATTGGGTCTTTCCTTCCTTGTTTCCCTGGGGCAGCCCCTAACTCTGGCTCTGTTCAGAGGCCTTCAAGTGGCTGCTCCCCACCCAGCTGCCCTTTGCCCTTCCTCTTGCGTTATTAGCGTCTGCCCCCACTCCCCTTCAACTGAGGAGACCCATGAAGAGTCCTTCCCAACAGTGGGCCAGGTTGGGAAGGATCAGAGGTGGGCCTGGGAATTCCCGAGCCCCCTGCCGGTCGGGGTGTCTCAGCATTTGGGAACCTGAGGCTTCATAGACCCACCCTCATTCCCCTCAACTGCTTTGGACGGGGTGTGTGTGTGTGTGTGTGTGTGTGTGTGTGTAGGGTAGGGCAAGATGGGGGGAGCAGGAGATAGCTGCCAGCCCCCCCATCTCTTCTATAGCACAGGCTTGACCAGGTACCTAGAATAAGGGTCGTGGGGGTCAGTTACCCAGCTTTTCTGAAAGGCCTGATAGGGATTATTCCTCAGGTGGGCAAATGAGGAAACCCAGAGTGGGCTAGGGAATGGGGACAATGGTGATGACCTTCCCTGATGCCTTGGTTTCCAGTACAAATAGCTTCTCCCTTCCCCTCCTCGTTTTTTTCCCCTCTTTTCTACTTCACCCCATTTGATTGCTGAATGTTGTAATCATAGATCCTCTTTTTCCCTAAGGCCTCCAGGCTGGGCCTAGGCCTTTGACCGGGGCTTCCCCAGACACAGGATCACTCCTGTGCGAGAGAACAGGCTGCATGGTTTTCTCTGTCCAAAGGGCCATCTCTGATCAGGGCTCTCTGTGTGTGTGGGTCTTCTGTGGGAGGTTGAGGAGGTAGAGGTCATAGGTGTTCGTCTGTTATCCCCACCCATATGTACCCCATGAGGAAGGGAGCCCTCCCTCCTAAGACTATTGTTCCGATCGGCTATTGGGTGGAAGGGTCTGGTTGCTGTAACAATTAAGTTGGGGCTGTCAGACCTGTACAGTGAGTGATCCTTCTTTTGGGCTAGTCTCTGCATCCCCTTCTCTCCCCCATTCAGTTTTTTGTATCTTGAACCTGAGAAACATTAAATATCTCTCAGATGGGTGCGTAGCCTTTCTCCACGTGTCTGGTGGGTATCAGGAGCCATTCAGGGGAGGAGGAAGAGGGGCAGCCTCCAGGCTGCGTGATGCTCCTTCCCATACAAGGGGTGGCGGAAGCAAAGGTGGGTGGACTGAGGCTGCAGCCAACTTTGGGGGAAGGAAGTTACAAGGAGGGGATTGGCAGTGTCCCATGGTCCTTCCACTCCCAGTGCTCCCAAGTACCTCTGGACAAGGGTCTCTCCATGGGTATGGATTGAGGGGGCTTCTCAGCCCTGTGATGATGCTAAGGAGTTTGGACTCTCACAGCTGCTGAGTGCCAGTTCAAGAGCTATGCCAGACGGGATGTTCCCAGGATGAGCCTCGTGGGGACTCCCTCCTTCCCCTATCCAAGTTGGAAGCAAACTCTGCTTGCCCCCAATGTATTCCCAGGAAGATTTCAAAAGATGAGGGTGGACAGGATACTCTGAAGGGCATGAAGGAAATGAATCCTAGCTAGGGCTTAGATCAAGACCCAGGACACTCCAAAGGGACCCCCTGAAAACCAATGGCAGGTAGCTTTCAGGAACCAAATAACCTTCCTAATGCAAAGTCTGATCAGATCACTCCCCCACTCAGAAACCTGTGATGTTCTATTATTTATTATTATTGTTGTTGTTGTTGTTTCTCGACTTGTGACATTATTGCTGCAAACTTCCACTGTGGAAATTCCTTTCACTAATCTGTACTTTATAGTCACAGAAGGTGCCTGGGGTGCTCAGGTGCTAAGTGATTTACCCATGATCACAGGGCTAGTGTATGTCAGAGGCGAGATTTGAATTCAGGTCTTCCTGGCCCCAAGATTAGCTCTCTCATAGAGCTCTGGACTTAAAGTCAGGAAGACCTGTACTTGGACCCTGGCTCAGATGCTTAATAGCTGTGTGACCCTGGTCAAGTCATTTAACCACTCAGCCTCAGTTCCCTCTTCTGTAAAATGGAACTAACAATAACACTTACTTCACAGGGCTACTATGAAAATCAAAGGAAATAATATATTAAAGTGCTTTGTAAACCTTGAAGTGCTATGTAAATGTTAGCTATTATCAATTTTATGTAAAAATCCAATCCTTAATCTGGCATTTAAGGACCTTCATAATCTGCCTCCATCCTACTTTTCCAACCTTATTTCACATCACTGCCCCCTCTCCCCAGACACACACAGACACACACGCAGACACACACACACACACACACACACACACACACACACACCACACTATACTCCAGCTAACCTCAACCTTTCTCCACACATGGGTTCCCAGACATGGTTCCATATATGTATAACTCTCTCCTCATCCCTGCCCCTTGAAATCCTTCTTCTCTGCTAAGACTCTACCTCCTCCATGTTGTCCCTCCCAACCTGACCTCTCAACCCTTCCCCCTCCTCCCATTTTTCTAGAGGACTTTATTTCCATCTCTCTTTTTCTCCTATATCACAGTACCTTGTATCTATATACAGGTCATATTCTCCAGTGGACAGTAAGCTCCTTGAGGTCAGGGAGGCATTGTATGTCTGGATCACCAGCATGTAGCACAAGGCCTTGCACATAGTTAAGTGCTTAATACATTTTGGTTGAACTGAACAAATGAGAGGGAGGGTTGCTTTATGCACTGGAGAGTAAACTTTGGGCATCTGTTTTCCCAAGGGCTGATGCATAATAGAAAGAAAGAGAATGTGGTAGGGAGATAAGACCAATAAAGGTCTTATCTTACCAACTATTATAGTAAATTAGACAATGAATACTTTTAAATTATCTACTATATGCCAGGCCCTGTGCCAAGCACTGGGTTTACAAAGAAAGGTAAAAGACAATCTCTGTTCTCTAAAGAGTTCACAGTCTAATAGGGGAGATAAGATGCAAACGATGATGTACAAGCAGATGCTTTGTTTCAGTCATATATACGATTCTCTATGACCCCATTTGGGGTTTTCTTGGCAAAGATACTGGAGTGGTTTGCCATTTCCTTCTCCAGCTCATTTCACAGATGAAAAAACTGAGGCAAACAGGGTGAAGTGACTTGCCCAGGGTCACACAGGTAGTAAGTGACTGAGGCAGATTTGAACTCACAAAGTTTAATCTTCCTGACTCCAGGCCCAGTTCTCTATCCACTGTGTCCCCTAGCAGCCTGCGAGCCAGAATATACAAAAGAAATCAGGAGGTAATCTCAGAGGGAAGGCTCTAGTGTTAAGTGGGGTCAAGAGAAGCTTCTTGAAGAAGGTGGAATCTGAAGGAAGCCAGGGAAGCCTGGAGGAGGAGATGAGTGGGAAGAGCACTCCAGGCATGACACTGACCAGAGGCAAGAGATGTCTCGTGTGAGGAATAACATGGAGGTTGGTGTTGCCAGGTCACAGAGCACACAGGGGGAGGTGAGGTGTCAGGAGACTGGGAGGGCAGGAGGGGGGCAGGTTATGAAGGACTTCGAACACCAAATAGAAGAGTTTGTATTTGATGCCATTTTGGCTGGGATTGGTCCATGTCGGGGAGGGAGTGGGAGATATGTCTGAATAGATAATGGTGGGGGGGACAAAACTGTGGAAAGGCTTAAATATTGAGCTATCATCCAATCAATCAATAAGCAATCATTAGGTGCCTGCTATGTGAGAGGCGGAGTGTTACAAGGGATAGAGGGTAAAAAATGACACCCTTGGTCTCAAGGAACTTACTTCCTATAGTAGGAGGAGGCAGGTACACATATAGGCATGTGCAAAATAAAATAAATACAAGGGGATTTGTACTTTATCTGGTAAGCAGTTTGGCACAGGGACACCAGAACTTTTTATGGAAACAGAATAATTGTGTTCTCCGCATCCCCTGTCTTCAAACTGCTCCTCTGAGCCCTTGATGGGTACAGAGCCATAGGCTGGGGGGATTAGTGGTTTCACCATGAGATGTGCACAGGACTCTGGGCTCTGGGATTCATGCATATGAGATTCCCACTTCCCTCCCAAAAGAGACAACGTAGTACAGTGGAAAAAGCCCCTCGCTGGGAGTCAGAACACATAAACACTAGTCCAAGTTCTCCCATGAACCACCTATGTGACCCAGGACAAATCCCTTCTCCTCTCTGGGACTTAGTTTTCCCATCTGCAAAATGAGAGAATTGGTTTAGATTGTCTCTGCCATCTAATTTGATAGTCCTGATATCTGGGTACCATATGCCCATGCCACCTGCATGCTCTGGAAGATGCCTAGGGACAGGGAAATGGCAAGGTCCATGGTCCTGCCAGGAGTTTTTATTTTTGGAGGACAAAAAGCTAAAATGTGCCTTAGGATTGTCTAGTCCAAACCTCTTATTTTACAGATGGGGAAACTGAGGCCCAGACCAGTGAAGCACATCAGATGGGTAATCAGAGGAAAGTCTGGCTGTGCCTGTTGATCCATATCCAGGATGGAATGAACAATTTGCTGTTCTCTGCCATGCTCCTCTGTGCCTGTTCCTCCTGGTACCCACTTCTAGATTCTAACCCTGAATGAGGGAAAGTGGGGGCCTGTGCCATATCTGAGGATGAACTCTTGCTCTGCAGCATCCTGAAGGGGCTGGAGATATAGTGGGACAACAGATTCCAGGGGACAAAAGAAATGGGTTTTGGGGGGGGTAAAATTGTCTGGGAGGAGCTCAGTGAACAGAAGAAGGGCTCTTGGGGGGTGGAGAGGAGGGGAGAAATGGGGAGCGGATGGAATTAGGTTGAGGGGGATGTAGGAAAACGCTTGTTAGTTGGCTGGGCTGCGGGCTGTGGCTGGAGCTCCCCAGCTCAGTGCTGGCGCTAGTGGAGTGGGGATGGAGAAAGAGGCCCAGGTCCCCCCTTCTGTGGTCTCAGTGGAACATGCTGCCCCATGCAGACTCAGCTGCCAGCCTGGCCACAGAATTTGGCTCTCCTGAGTCATTGCTTAACTCTTAATGTTCTTCGGAATAGAACCCAACTCAATGAGTTCCCCCTACTCCTGGTCCCCACGGCTGTTACCTCTAGACTTCCAGGGTAGAACCCCTATCTTCCAGCCACCCTGGGAAAAGAAGTGTTTTTGGCTCTGTCCCAGTCTGTCTCCACATACATCTTCCTCTCTTCTCTGACTCTGACTTTTTATCTCTGAATCTATCTTTACCTCTTTGTCTGCCTCCGTGCTCCTGGGACTGGAGCCTCTTAGGGGCTGTCCTTGGAGCTGTGACCAGGGCATGTCACATCTCTCTTCCCCTTGTCCAGCCCAGGTTCCCCTGCCTACCCACTTTGTTCTTTAGTCATTTTGGGAACTAAGGCAAATAAAGGAGATTGTATGCATATGTTCTTGTGTGTGTGTGCCAGGCATGGACCCCCATATACCTCCTGATTCTATCCTGAGGAAGAAAAACAGAGGCTGGGGCTGGAAGGGTATTGGGAATCCTCCGGGCCACTGAAGGAGAGGGAAGGAGGAGGGAGAAGAGGGTGGTGACTCATCTGGCCGCCCTGGGACAAAGCCTGAGGGAAGGCTGGGCTGAAGGATGGAGAATGGGCAAGGCTTGGGGTCTGTGTAGGGAGAAAGAGCCGGCACCCTGGTTTCCACCCAATCCCAACCCAACGAGCTGGCAAGCAGGCAGGCAGCATTCAGCCGGGTGAGTGCACTCAGCTCGGTTTCCCCAGGGCTCCTTGGGGTTGAATCGAGCCCAGAATTTTAGTTATCTATGTGGCAGCCACACCCTCAGGGGCAGAGGTCCTGGTCAGTGGGTCAGTTAGGGAGGCTACACCCAATCTTGGTGCCAAGTATTGGGTTTTGTACTTCTTCTTGGTGTCCAGAGTCCCTATCATTTGAAAGGATGAGAAAGGGACTGAGGGGGAGGTCATCTCTCTCATTTTCTCGTGGTCTGGTGCTCATTCAAGCTGTCCCCTCCCCCATTTGATTTCTTTAGGAGTGTGTGAGTGTATGTGTTTGGGGAGTTGTTCTGACTGACCCTCACCCTTTGCCCCAATGATCTCCCATCCCTCTTCTCTGTCTCAGTTGAACCCTAAACTTGGAAGCAGGAGACCTGAGTTTCAGTCCCATCTCCACCACACTACTGAGTGTACGACCTTGAACGAATCATTCTGGGCCTCAGTTTCTTTTCCATTAACAAAAGAGGGTTGGATCAGCTATCTCTAGGAAGTCCCAGCTCTCTCCCTTCATAGATGCCCTGCTCTCCTCTTTGTTAAGTCAGACTCTTCCTGTCTTCTCTGGGGCTCGAAGTGACTCTTGGTGGTCACATAAAGAGGACCCCATTGTCCTGCTCTGGTGCCAGCTTCACTCCAGGATGTCCAAGTGTTGATGGTGTTGGGAAGAACCAAGGTGGGAAGGTTGAGGAGACAGATCTTAGACCAAGGGTCCTGCTTGTCCTGTTCAGAACAGAATTAAGGTGGGGGTGAGGGTAGAGAGGGCCCAGATCACAAAGGCCTTGACACTCCAACCTCCAAAATTTTTTATTGTTTAAATTTATTTTTGTCAGTTAACAAGTATTTATTTCCCCTCCTTCCTACTCTCTCCCACTTGAAAAAGAAAAAAAACTTATGAAAATATGTATAGTTAAGTAGGACATTTTCCCACATAGGCCATGTTCAAAAACATATATTTCACTCTGCATGGGTCCAGCACCTCTCTGTCAAGAGGTGGGTAGAGGAATGCTTCATCTGGAGTCCTCGGGAATCTTGGTTGGCCATTTTGTTGATCAGAGTTCTTAAGTCTTTCAAAGTTTTTTGCCTTTACAATATTGTTTTTACTGTATAAATTGTTCTCCTGGATCTGCTCATTAACAGCCTCCACCTACCTTTTGTCTGAGTGTCCTTAGCCTTTACTCGACCTGGGATTTGGGTAAGGGGATTTCTTTGGGACCAGAACTGCCAGGAAGTCTCCTGGTGGGGAAGGGGAAAGGACCTGCTGAGACGTAAGACCTTAGGATGCTTGAGTGAGAACACAGACTGTTAGCACTTGCAGGCCAATACCCTCCTGGCATATGCAATCAGCCCTTAGTTTATGGAAAGGAACAGAAGATCGTAGTTTTAGGGCTATGAGGTCATAGAGGCCTTGGAATCCAATTTCCTAATTTTGCAAATGAGGAAACTGAGGCACACTGTGATTAAGTGAATTACCTAATGCCACACGGGCAGTAAATTGTAGAGGCAGGGATCAAACCCAGGTCCTTTGAATCTGACTCCTAACATCTTTTCCACTGTACCACACTTCACAGGCATTTATTCTGGGGTGATATTTTCTGAGTTTTCAGAGGTCGATAGGGGAGGGTGAGAGTGACTACCTTTTTACTCCGCCATCTTGGCTCCCGGAAGCGGCCACAGGCATTTATTAAGTGCCTCTCAGTTGCTAGGTTCATTGCAAAGACAAACATGCAACAAGTCCTGCCCTCAAGAAGTTTGCCTTCTATGGGAGAGACAACGTCTCTTATATATGCCCTGGATTAAGAATCCCTAAGGCTGGTGGTCTGTGTTTTCTTGGCCCTGGATTAGACTTGAACTTTGGTTTTCTGGATCTTTTTGGGCTGGGCAGGAATGTGGGAGGGGAGAGATTAGAAGGAGGAGGAGGAGGAGGAGGGGGAGAAGGAGGAGGAGGAGAAGGAAAGGAGAGAGAGGAAAGAGGGAGAGAGAGGAAAGAGGGAGAGAGAGAAGGGAGGGAGAGAGAGAACGGAGAGGGGCAGAGAGAGAAAGGCAGAGAGAGAAAGAAGAAGGAGGAGAGAGGGAGACAGAGAGACAGAGAAAGAAGGGAGGGAGAGAGAGAGGGAGAGGGAGAGAAAGGAAGGAGGGAGAGAGCAACAGAGAGAGAGAGAGAGATAAAGACAGAGAGAAAGACAAAGAGACAGAGAGAGAGACACACACACACAGAGAGAAAGCATTATTTAGCAGGTGCCTGCCCTAGGAGGTGGACAAACATCCCTCTAGATGAGAGCCCCTCCTCCTGTTGTCCAAGACAGCCACAGTGTCTGGACTCTCCCTTTGGGCTAGAGTCTCATGCCCAGGCCCCTTCCCTCACAAAGATCCTAGGGTAAGAAAGGACCTCATCTATTGTAACTCAACCTCTGTCTACAAGTGGGTATGCAGCCTCTGCTGGGCTGGAATTGTAGGGGCAGAGACATAGGTCTGTGCCCCACCCCCATTCCCTTAAAACCCATCAGGGCCCTTACCTGCCTGGAACACCTCGATCTTCTCACCTTTCCTTCTACCCTCCCCTCTCCTTTCCCTCTTGTCTCCTACTCCATATCCCTCTCTTCTCCATTTTCCTTGTTTGCTCTCTCCTCATGCACTCATTCTTTTCTACTAGCTGTCTCCTATTGTGGTGGAGTGGAACGAGCCTTGGATTTGGAGTCTGAAGATCTGGATTCAGATCCTGCCTTCTGCTGCTTACACCTGGGCCACACTTCCTTCTCCCTAAATAGGCAAGGGGCAGAGGCAGGGCCAGGGGCAGCAGCATGGGGAGGCTGGATCTTCTCATTTTAATTCACACTACAGTGATGACTTCCTCTCCCTCCTTCTCTCCTACTGTCTCCCCTTTCCTTGCCTCTCTCTCCCCTCCCTCCCTTCCTTTCTTTTACACCCCACCCCTCTCTCCCACCCACGTTGCCCGTCAGCTGAGCCTAGTGGGCAGTGCCCAGAACTTCTGAAGTTGGAGCTGGAGCAGGCTGGCCAGGCTGGGATCTGGAATGTGTTGGGAAGGGGGCAAAAGAGTTTCTGCTGGGGTATCCGAGGAGAGCTGGGTATATGTTGGTGGTGGAGGCAGTGAGGCATGAGAAGGAGACCGTGCTGAATGGGGCAGGGGCATTGGAGGCCAGGAGAAGAGGGATCCTGATTCCAAGGGCAGTATGGTGAGTGATGCCTCAAGGGGGGGGTGGCTGCCTGATGCTCACTGGCCCATGTGGCCCTCCCACAGGATCAGGCAGGCCCCAGATGCAGTCACCAAAACTTCCGAACTAGTGACAGGACCAGCCCAGTGCCAGCTCGGGGGATGGGATGGGCAGAAGAACTCTCTCCCTCAAGTTCCAGTGGCCTTACTGTGCACTTACTGGGTGGGAGCTTCCCCAGTATGTGTTTATGGGGTGGGGGCAGAGCCAGGCCTCTTGACAGCTGCAGGGAGGAAGGGATTATTAACTCTTGCCCCTTGTCTGAGTCTGTTTCCAGCGGGGAGGAAGAGCATCCTCCCCCCTCTCCAAGGTCACCATTTGTGAGAAGGGGTGTCCCCTGTCTTGTCTCTGAACCCACAACAGCCCCGGTTCAAGTCCATGATCAGGAAAGGGCAATGGTTTGGGGTAGAGGGACCTGAGAGGGGGGATGCATAGATGGTGCTGACACTGGGTAGAGGCCTGAAATGTAACCTGCCTGGGCAGAGGAACCCAGGTTTTTCTGGCTCCTGATGCTGACTTGAGCCCTAGGAAGTACCCCTGGAGAAAGAACACTTTTCTGGGGGAAGCCTGGCTTGAGAAGGAAGGGGGGTCCCTGCCTCTCCTATCGCCTTTTTTGTAGGGTTGAGCTAGACCTCCTCCTCCCTCTTCCTCTCTCCCCACCCCCTGGGCACTGACACACAATGCCCCTTTCACAGCTGCCAGGGCCCCGCCTGCCTGTTTTGGGACCTCTGGTCTGTAGGAAACAATATGGCGAGGGCAGTGCTTCCTGGGGGGCCCTGTGGCAAGCTAGTGGGGGGGTATTCCTTACTGGCTCTGGGTGAGGCTTGGGGGCCCGGGCAGTCAGGGAGCCAGGAGAGATGAGAACCAGGCCAATCTTAGACAAGTTGAGAGATCTTGAGAGATGGGAGGGACCCTGGAGCCTCCTCTTCTAAGAAATGTGCTTCTCCATCCAGAGGAGCAAGGGAAGGCTTCCCCTGGTGGGATGAGAGGCGAACAAAAGTTTTGTAAAATTTGGATTCATCAAAAGGCCACACTGAGAAGGCCACATATGATCTTAAGGCCGCAGGTTCCCCACCCCTGGACTAGATAATCCCTAAAATCAGCTCCAGCTATAATTTTGTCCCTCACTAGCTATGTGACCTTGGGGGAAATGACTAAACTCTCTGGGCTTTGGTTTTCTTCTTTGTGAAATGGTGTACTGGACTTGGAGTCAGGAAGACCTGGGTTCCAATCTCACCTCAGATTCTTACTATAACCTTGGACAAATCATGTAACCTCTCCTAGCTTTGGGATCCTAATCTATAAGATGGGGGTGGGGGAGTTGTTTGGATACAATGGCCTCTAGGGTCCTTTCTGACTAAATCCATAATCCTTTGACACTTACCATGTATCTGACCTGGGTGTATTGGGTAGACACATACACTACACTCTTCTTCCCTGGGCCTCAGTTTTCCTATCTATAAAATAAATGGGTAGGATTGGATGATCCTAAGTCCCTTCCAGCTGTAAATCTAAGATACTATGAAAAGATGAGATAATAATAGCTAGCTAGGTGTTGATGTAGCTTTTCCAGGGTCCTGGAAGCTCATTATATGTGATTGTACTTGATATGCAGATATAAATACAGAATAATACACATGTCATGGTAACTATAACAGGCTATCACTGAGAGCAAGTCAGGATGGCAAAGTGCTTTTAGATAAGTCTTTCATTGGCTTCTCACTGAAATAGGCCCTGAAAATGGGATCATAAAAAGCAAGGGATCTGACAACCTCTAAGGTGCCTTCCAGCCCTGATGACCTACAAGGGTGCCCATTTCATAGATGAAGAAATTGAGGCCTAGCAATTAGAAATGATTTCCTGAAAAAAGGAAAAAAAGAATGAAAAAGGAGGGAAGGAGGGAGGAAGGGAGGGTGGAAAGAAGGAAGGGAGGGAAGAGGGATGAAGGAAGGGGGGAAGGAGGAAGAGAGGGAGGAGGGAGGAAGGGAGGGGGGAAGGAGGAAGGGAGGGAGGAGGGAGGAAGGAAGGGGGGAAGGAGGAAGGGAGGGGGGAGGGAGGAAGGGAGGGAGGAAAGGAGGAAGGGAGGGAGGAGGGAGGAAGGGGGGAAGGGAGGGAGGCTGACCTCTGGCCACAGGCTAGCCCGTGTTGACCCAGGCTGTGACCTCAAATCCCGCCTCTCTAGGCAGCTGCCTGGGGGCAGGAGGGCCACCCTGTGCCCCGGCCCCTCCCCTCCCCCGGGGGCCTCCCTTCCCCTCTCCTCCCCTCCCCCACCTCCCTTTCCCAGGGGACCTCCACAATGGGGTGCGGCCCAGGCCTAGGCCTGCCAGGGGCTCCTCCAGCCCCCAGGGGGCGTCGGGCGGGCGGGGCCCGCAGCGAGGCCCGGGCCTCGAGGTTGAGCCGCTCCCTCCGCAGGACTCGGGCTCGCTGGATGCCTGCCTGCAGGCCACGTTGTCTGCCCTGTACCCGCCCTCGGGGGGCTCGGCCGATGCCCTGCTGGGCCAGGTGCTGGCCGTGGTCGAGCGGGCCTACGCGGGCGACGGGCTGCGCTACCTGCTGGACTTCCTGCTGCCCGCCCGCCACATCCTGCACTGCGTCCAGCTGCACGCCTGCGTGAGTGACCCCTGAGCCACCCGCAGCCGCTGGCCTCCCTGGGGGTCAGCCGGGGGGGCGGGGTCAGGCGACCGCCGGGCTCCCTGCTGCACCCTCCCCCAGCCCAAGTGACCTGGGCAGCCTCTGACCTCCCTGGGGGTCAAATGTAAGGTGAGGGGTTAGATTGGATGACCTCCAGGCCCCTTCCTGCTCCCTCCCCTAGCG